GAACCCAGCGCCTGGGTTCTTTTGAGAACCCAGCGCTTGGGTTCTTTCGAGAACCTAGCGCCTTGGTTCAAGAAGGAACCCAAGGGTTCTCGAAAGAACCCAACTCTTGGGTTCCAACGAAACCCAGCAGCTGGGTTCTCGAAGGAACCCAACGGAGACTGCTGGTACAAGTCTTCTAGGGTTGAAAGGGGAAGAAGGGGGAGAAAATAGTGAGTTTGAGGGGCAAGAGGTGGGCCCCACAATTTATTTTTTTTTTGTTGGCTTAGAATCTGACGTGGTTTATAACATGTGCCATGTGTACAGTTAACGTGTCACAATATTTTGACACGTCATCATACTCAGTTAATTAACTTGACACCTCATCATATTTTTAACAAAAGGACCAAATTGGGGTAAAATGGGTAAACAGTAATGACCAAATCAAGGATTTTTTTAGTTCAAGGACTAAATCGGGGGTCCGTACAATAGTTCGGGGACCAAAAAGGGGTTTTAACCTATAATTTTAATTGGATGCTTCCAGGAAACAAGATTTCCAAGGTTGGTTAATTGACTTGTGTTTCCATGAGGGACCAGGGTAGGTAATTAAGTTAACAAGTCAATGGTCTTCCATTCCTTTCACTTTAGCGTGTTCCAACTTCCACACACTCATTTATTGTATTGTTGAATGCTGCAGGTCCACCCACCTTTTTGTTAAAATTCGTCAAGCTGGTAGCTTCCTTTAATCTTCACTCTAGCCAACTCTAAATTAATGCCTTCTCCTTATTATATCTTGGAGTTTTCTAACATAAACCCTCACAATAGATTGTACCTTTTACCCTTTAATTTATATGAAAAATTCCAAAGGTAAATTTTATTTTTAATATTAATATTATGTGAAGTATTTTAATTAAATAGTTAATAAAATTAAAATTAAAATTTATTTGTTATATAAATTAATCATAAAAATATATAATAAATACATCTTTAATTTATACTTTAAAGGTAGATCTTAAAAAGTTTCTTATTTCTTCGATGTACCCTACAGTTTTTCAGTAAAATGTATATTTTATTGCCAAAACTTTCACTGTACACAAAGCAGCTCTTTATGATAGAGGCTGCTACTAATATCCATATGCGAAGAATGAATCAGTTATAAAAAAATGGATGTTCCGTACAGTTATATGTAAGTAGAACAAGATGGTTTTGAGAACTGAGTAGAGACCACCACAAAAGATTGAAGTTCCTTGACACAGTCTTCAGCTTGGTTGAGCTTCATCTTCGTTTTGTTCTTATCACTTTTAAAATGACGGTTTTGGCCGGGTACGGGGTCCTTCTAATTAATTATCACAAAAATGTTCCAAGCTAGGTGATGGCCACGCCATTCGTGCAGAACTTTTTGCTTTATGGAAAGGCATGGAGCTAGCATGGGGTTTCGACATGTTATTGTGGAGACAGATTCTCTTTTAACTGTTCAAAAATTGCAAAGTAGCTCCACAACAATTACATTATTGACTTATTGGGTTCAAAGGTGCAAGTCTCTCATGGAAAGAGATTGGACATGTGTGATTCGACATGTGTTTCAAGAGCAAAACGTTTGTGCAGATGCAATGGCATCTCAGTTTTATCACCTAGGGGGAAGTTTCCTTTATTTTGAACAACCCCCTGATGTGGTTCAATCTCTTCTTCAAGAAGATAATTTAGGAATTTGTAGGCCACGTGCCACTAGATAATCCAATGCTGTAAGCATTGCCCAATGTACCGAAAAAAAAAAAAAGTCAAGTAAAAGATCACGTAAATTACTCTTCACAATGATATTATTTTGGGCAACGTTGTTATGGTCTGTTTGAGTGGTTGTGACTTGTGATTTTTGTTGTAACAGAGTTGCTGAAAAATTGTACAAAGTCGCTGAAACTTAATTACTATCATATCAAATGTTTTATTAATATATGGAGGGAGCTTTAGTTTTCAATACTTTATAATTAGAAATTAGACAGGGGTTATAGGAAGCAAAAACATTTCGTATGATTGCCCTTCACTTGAACTATTTTGCTTAAGATAGTGTTACGATATCAATGGAGATTGTGTTTATTAAGTTTAAGAGTAGATTGAAAGGTAAATTAATAGGTTGTGATATAAAATGACATTTAGGAGAGATTTATGTAAGGGTTTCAAAATCAACTTATGGTAAATAAATAGCTTAGAATTTTGTTTATGCTAAACATATGGAGTAAAAAACTTAAAATTGTAGGGTGCGTTGAATCATATTACAAATAATTTACCCAAGATATCAACTTAATCATTTCACATAAATCATGTTGCCTACTGGAATCTTCCTTTAATCTTCTCCTTCTACCTACAGTAAATTAATATTCTTTGATGGGCCCTTTTACAACCTCAAATGTATTTTCTTGAAGCTATATATATAAGTAGCTAGAAAGGTTTTGAGAACCCATCAAGCACATTACCTTATTACTGCTTTCATCCCATATTCCATTTCTGAATATTTTTCATTTCTATACAACCACAAGGATCCAAAATGCAGCTAGCAAAATACCTGCTCTTATCATCTAATTTCTAATGTTCCTCAATTACTTGTTTACCATATTTCCTTGACACACTCTTCATTTTGGTTTGCCTTCATCTTTGATTTTAATCTCATCAATTTTAGAATGAAGATTCTGGGTGGAAGGTCTCTTCAACTTGTCTATGCATTCCTGATTTTACTGCATATGCAATCTTCCATTGGAATCAGTTCAACAACTGCTGGTGATGAAGTTAGGTGCATAGAGAGTGAAAGACTAGCGCTTCTGGCATTTAAGCAAGGTCTGGTTGACGAATATGGCTGGCTTTCCTCATGGGGCAGTGAAGAAAAGAGGAAGGATTGTTGCAAATGGGAAGGAGTTCAATGTAGCAACACAACTGGGCACATCATTGTGCTTAATCTAACTGCAGTGTATGGGCATGGTTATTATCTTCCTCGATTGAGAGGTAACCTTAGTCCTTCCCTATTTGAGTTGCAGCATTTAAGTTATTTAGGCCTTGCTAGAAATGATTTCAACTTTAGCCACATTCCGGAGTCTATTGGCTCACTCAACAAAATACAACATCTTGATCTCTATTATTGTAATTTAAGTGGACCTCTTCCTAGCCAGCTTGCAAACCTCACACGTTTGCAATATCTTGATCTTGGCTATAATAACTTCAATAGTGTCAAAAATCTTGAGTGGCTCTCTTATCTTTCTTCTTTGAAACACATTTCCTTGATGGAAAATGACCTTGGAAAGGTAAATGACTGGCAGCAGGTAATTAATAAACTCCCTCGTCTAACTTACCTGTCTCTACGTGGATGTAATCTTCGAGATGTCATTCCTCAGTCCATCCCCATGATTAATACTTCTACTTCTCTCACTTACCTTGATCTATGGTCTAACAATTTGACTTCCTCCACATTCCACTGGTTGTTCAAATTCAGCAAGAGCCTTGTTTATCTTGACTTGTCTGATAATCAGTTTCAGGGTTTGATTCCAGAAAATCTCGGTCACATGACTTATCTGGAAACCCTAAATCTCCGCTACAACCAATTTGAAGGAGGGATACCAAAATCCTTTGGGAACCTGTGCAAATTAAGGTCCCTATACCTATATCATAACAATCTTAACGGAATGCTTCCTGAAGTCATTGTTAACTTATCTGGATGTCTACGGCTCTCCTTGGAAGAATTAGAATTGGGTAAAAACAAAATTAAGGGACCCTTGCCTGATATGATAAAAAAATTCCACTCACTGCGACTGTTGGGTCTTTATGACACTCAACTAAGCGGTACTATGCCCAAAAGTATTGGACTCCTGTCAAACCTTGAGAGCTTATATATTTCTTCCAATTCTTGGAATGGGACGATCAGTGAATCACACTTTTCAACGCTATCTAAGTTACGGAAGTTGGGCATGTCTTCTAATTCTTTGAGCATCAACTTTAGCAATGACTGGATTCCTCCATTCCAGTTGGATTCTATAGTACTTCAGTCGTGCAAGTTGGGCCCAAAGTTTCCAAGCTGGTTAAAGTCCCAAAGAAAATTTTCTTATCTTGATATCTCTGGAGGTGGGATTTCAGATAGCATCCCACCATGGTTTTGGAACCTATCTCCTAGAGCAAATCAAGTGAATCTTTCTTCCAATCATCTCTATGGAGCTTTGCCAAATTTGTCAACCACAAAATTTGCTGATTCTTTTGGCCTTGGGATAGATTTGAGTAAAAATAAGTTGGAGGGTCTATTACCAGTATTCCCTGTTAATGTCACATCCATAAACCTATCAAAAAATAGGTTCTTTGGATCAATTTCTTCTCTCTGTACTATAACTGGTGGCAACCTTGACTTCCTTGATGTTTCACACAATCAACTATCTGGGGAGTTTCCTGATTGCGTAACGCAATGGCCAATATTAGTTATTCTAAATTTGGCTAATAATAATTTATTTGGGAAAATTCCAAGCTCTATTGGATCTTTGTCTGGCCTTCAATCATTGGGTTTGCAAAACAACAATTTCTTTGGAGAAATACCTTCATCTCTTGAAAATTGCAGTTCCTTGCAATTTTTGGGATTGAATTATAATAACTTCTCCGGAAAAATTCCAACTTGGATTGGAGAAAGGCTAAGTTCACTAATTTTCCTTCTTCTGAGATCCAATAATTTCAATGGAGACATCCCCTTGCAGCTATGCTGGCTGACGAATATTATGTTGCTAGACCTCTCCAACAACAATCTATCTGGAAACATACCATGGTGCATCCAAAATCTGACTACATTAGCTCAACAGGAGAGTTCAGCCAGTGATCATGATTTTACAAGTTCACAAATTGATGCTACTTTCGGGTACGCAGGAAGCTATGCTGACAAGGCATCTGTAATGTGGAAAGGAATGGAGCGTGATTATGGGAACGGAAATCTCAAGAATCTGAGGATTATTGATCTTTCAAGCAACAAATTAACAGGAGAAATTCCTGCGCAGGTATCGGTTCTCTTGGAACTGGTTCAATTGAACTTATCAAGAAATCAGTTGACGGGATGGATTCCTTCAAACATTGGGCAGATGAGAAAATTAGAATCACTTGACTTGTCATGGAACCAGCTTTCAGGTCAGCTTCCTTGGAGCATGTCCCAATTATATTTTCTCGGCACCTTGAACCTGTCATATAACAACTTTTCTGGGAGAATCCTATCGGGACCCCAAATACAGACATTTGATGCTTCTTCATTTATCGGTAATCCTGCACTCTGTGGGCTTCCTCTAACACCAACTTGTCCCGAAGCTGAAAAATCAGAGAGCAAACCCAAAAACAGAGACATGGATGAATTCTGGAAATCGTTTAAACCGGGTATGGAACTTGGAGCGGCCATCGGCTTTGTGGGAGTTCTGGCGGTGAAGTTAGATCATCCATGGAAACATCTCTGTTTCCTGTTGTTTAACAACGTGAGGGTCCGCTTCAGCAACTTGAAGGGCTGCCTTTGTTTACTTGTAGCATCACTTGGTTTGCTGGTGAGAGAACATGTCTCCAGATTGGGAAGAAAATTGAAGTTGTTCGAGCCATCAGCGTCTTCCTAGAAGCCGGTAAAGGTCGATGAACATTTATTCTAATCTTGTGTGGCATCTTCATAACTTGATTAGTGCAACTAACCTCTTATTTGTTGTTTTTCAGATTCAAGATGTTTCATGTTGCAAAGTAAACTTCCAGGATGTCTTCTCCTCTTTCCGCATCAATAAGTCCAAGCTGAGCAGGGCATTGTTTCTTCCTTTATTTTATAAGAGTGTCTTGTTGTACGGTTGTTTAAATAAAATGGTTTGCGCTTTTTTTTTAATCGTCTATTTTGTAATAATTTGCTTGAAACTGATATATAATAATAATATGGATTTGTATTCTGTAATTTAACCAAGTCTGTAATCTGGAGAGAAACAGAGACTCAGAAAGTTCGTGTATGTAAACCCTAATTTATAGTTTTTATGTTAATTTTAAAACATTATCTTTAATTAATCAAATGGTCAAGAGATGTAGGGCAGGATTAAAAACATCCAGGCGACCCTCACCCACTTCCTCTGTTCCTCTGCCCAAATGAGCCTTTTCGTATTTCTTCACAAAATTTCAGGGAATGGTCAAGAGATGTAGGGCCAGAGATACGCGTCGCCAATGAAGCAGGTAGTTTCTAGTTCTCAATTCCCCTGTTTCTTCATCCCAAAAATTCCAATCGCTTATCACTAAACTAAACAGATGGTCTGTTCTGTTTTCTGTGAATAATTTCAATAAACTCGTGGCTTTTCAACTCATCTTCGGGTTTTTGAGTTAAAATGGTTGCTGGGTTCGCATCAAAGGTAAGCTCTTGTTTTGTCTGAGTAGTGGGTATGTGCTGCTTCTATTTATTTCGAGTTTAATATTTCAATGGAAACAACAATGCAAGCAAATCACTTCAAGTGAATTGTGTAATTAGAAAATAATAATGAATTATTTGCTGGTTCCTTTAATCTTTAGAGAATCTAATTACTAAAGTGGATAATCCAGTAGCTGCCATGCTTTTTTTGGTCTTCCATTTCTTATGCACACAGCAACCATTTTTGGTGCTAGGTGTAGCAGTCATGCCGTAACAAGTGCCAGTTATAGTACTATAAAATGGGTTTTGATTTTGTTTGTGCAATTCCATATATATTTTTTCCGTTAGGTTTTTTATTTAAGGGGTTGCCGTTTGTAACCGACGTTATAGTGTTTTCTTAGAGCATTTTCGATGGGTTTTGGCAATTTTGCATCAAATCAATGCTTCCTGCAAACATCTATAAATGGATGCATTATTCTTCTAGTACCAATTTGATGTCTGCTTTAATCCAACAACGTGATTCATTCATGAAAAAAGAGAATGTTGATACATTTAATTCTAACTTTTATTCTTAAGAGAGCAGGCAAGGCATACACCAATGCTTTAACAGTAGTTTCATTTCCCTTCTTATCGTTATTTATCTTTGATGCTTCTGCAATTGATAGTAATTCTGCTCTATGTAAGTGCCCTCCAAAACCAAGATGTCGGGGGGATGAAAGACACACAGATGGTGCTGGCAAAGAAAATAATGCTGACCAAGATTAATTCTGGAGAGGGTTTAACACAGTGTGGAACTTGTAATGGCCTTTGGCTCTCTGGGAGTTCTTTCTTAAAAATTGGATCACCCACTTGTTTGCTGGCGCGGTGAATGCTGCCAGATTGCAAAGAAAGTTGAAATCTTAAGAGCCAACATCACTCCTTTCCCCTGAGCCTGGAAAAGTGGGTATGGTTATGTTTGTTTATGCTATCTTCTTGTTCAAGTGCATTACTTCAGTTTCAGTATGCTTCTTCACACTTCAGGGACTCAACTTCTCCACTCTGTCTTGCTGCTGTAATGGTAATAACAAGTAACAAACCAAACCTGACTAGAAGGTTATCTCTTTCTTTCGTTCTCTGTGTAATAAATCAATGTATGTTTGTGTGTGTGGTTTGCATCTTCTATTGTAAGAAGAGCTAACTGCAGCTTCTTGCTATGAAACTGAGATAGGATTACAATCTAAAATCTGTTGGCTTTGTTACGTTTTTTTCTTTTTCTTTTTTTTTTTAAGTCATTTTAAAAATGAATTCACAATCTAATATTTGTATAATTTTATCTAAAATTTCCACACTCTAATATTTTATATTGCAGCACTTGGTTTGGTGGTTACAATGAATGTTAGCAAACTGCAAGGAAAGTTGAAGTTTTAAGGAGC